GACATATAAAATGGAATGCGAAAAAATGGCGTATAAAACATTTATTAAGAAATATTACGAAATATAGAACACGATCTGCCATTTTGATAGCTGTAAATTGAACCCCCCCCCCACCTCCCTACCCCCCAAAAAAGGAGGGGAAAAGCGAATCAAATAAAAAGAAAAAAAGGAAAGAAAAGAGAAAGAACAAAAGAAAGAAAGAAAAAAAGAAGGAAATAAAAAGAAAAGAAAAAGAAAGAAGGAAAGAAAAACAAAGAAAAAAAGAAAGTAAAAAAAAGAAAGAAGGAAAGAAAAAAAAAGAAAAAAAAAGAAAAAGAAAAAAAAAGAAAGAAAGAAAGAAAGAAAAGAAGGAAAAAAAGGATCGAAAAAATAAAGAAAAAGAAAGAAAGAAAGAAAAAAAGAAAAAACAATCACTTCTTCATCTATCCGTAATGAGCCCGCCCCTTCTCAGCGCCCACAGGATAGAGCACAGCCGCCCATCTCTTCCTCGTCTTCTCAGGGCCATTTCCATCGCCTCCTGGAGAGTATGGGCGGCTCGGAGGTGGGCGCTGAGGGAGGGAGAGTGGGTGGAGAAGGGTAGGGGAAGGGAGGGAGGGAGAGAGGGGGAAGAGGGAGGGAGAGAGGGGGAAGAAGGGAGGGAAATGGGGAAGAGGGAGGGAGAGTGAGGGAAGAGGGGAGGGAGAAGGGTTTGGAAGAGGGAGGGTGAGTGAGGGAGAAAGGAAGGAAAAGGGAGGGAGAGCAGGGGATAAGGGCAAGGAAAGGGAAGGAGGGTAGGGAGAATAAAAGGAGAAGTGGGAGAAAGGGGGAAATGGGTAGGAGAAAGGGGAAGGAAGATTCGAGAAAGGTAGGGGAAGGGAAAGGGAGGGGCATAATGGAGTAAAGAAACGGGAAAGAGAAAGAAAGAAAGGGAGAGAAAAAGGAAAGGGAAAGGGAAGCTAAAAGAGAGAATGGATGAATATGAAGAGGAAGATGAAACGCCGAAAAATGTGGGAGAAAAGGACGAGTAAACATGGAAGGGAGGAAGAGACGAGGAGGAAGCGAAAACTGAAAGGGAGAAAGGATTATGGGAGAGAAGAAGAAGGAGGAAAGAAGAGAATGGAAGAAGAAGCAAAAGGCAAGCGAAAGAGGTTGAGGGACAAGGAAGTGGAAAGACAAGAGAAGAAACAACGAAAAAGAAAGGGAGGAAGAGAAAAAGGAGTAAGGGAGATGGAGCAAAGAAGGAGCGAGAAAGAGAGGCAGGAAGGAAGGAAGGGAAGGAAGCAAGGAAGGCTTTCACGATGGTTAAAGTTGCAGGAGGAGGGAGGGGGGGGGGGACAGCTATCCTGCCATACATCTTTTATGAAGTTAGCAAGAGACCGCGAAAAAAAAGAAAAAGTTTTAGACTTTTTCCTCTTCTTTTCTCTCCATTTTCTCTCTCCTTTTCTCTCTCTCTTCTGCATATTTAACCTCTTCCTTTCCGACTCGTTTCCTCGGGGTAGAAGTATGGGCGGCAGGAATTATATTTTCTCAAAGGAAAAGAGGACAGGAGCATCGGAGCGCCGCGAGGAGGGCGTCGAAGGGGGCTGGGAGACGAGGCCGAAGAGGAGGAGGGCGTCGAAGGGAGCTGGGAGACGAGGCCGAAGAGGAGGAGGGCGTCGAAGGGAGCTGGGAGACGAGGCCGAAGGGGAGGAGGGCGTCGAAGGGGGCTGGGAGACGAAGAGGGAAGGGAAGGGGAGGAGGGCGTCGAAGGGAGCCTGAAGACGAGGCCGTGAGGAGGAGACGAGGCCGAAGAGGAGGAGGGCGTCGAAGGGAGCTGGGAGACGAGGCCGAAGAGGAGGAGGATAAATTCAAAAGAGAAATAGGCAGATTTTTATCAATATTTTACCATCTTCATGTTTTTTATTGCATCAGTGACCCTGTTGCCTTGACGGAGGTATGCGCTTTGCGATTGCTTCTAGATATTATCATTATAATTATTATTATTATCATCATCATTATTATTTTTATTAATGTTGTTATATTTGTCAATATTGTTGTTATTAATATTATTGTTATTATTATTATTATTATTATTATTATTATTATTATTATTATTATTATTATTATCATTATTATTATTATTATTATTATTATTATTATTATATTATTATCATAATTTTATTGTTATTATTGTTTTTTTCTATATAAAATTTTGTTGCTGTTGTTGTTTTTATCATTTTTACTATTATCATTACTATTACTATCATTTTAACTATTATTGTTGCTATTATTGTTATTATTATTATCATAATCACCGTTACTATCATTACTTTTAACATTATTATTATCATTATTACTATTATTATTATTGTTATCATTATTGTTATTATTATTATTATTGTTGTTGTTGTTGTTGTTGTTGTTGTTGTTGTTGTTGTTGTTGTTATTATTACCATTGCTGTTATTATCATTACTAATGTCACCATTGTTAGTATTAACATCATTAACCTTATCATTGTTGTTCTTATTATCATCATTACTATTGTTTTTGTCATTATCATTATTGTTATTATCAATGCTGTTATCATTATTATCATTATTAATGTCATTATTATTCTTATCTTTATTATTATTATCATCACCATCACCATCATCTTCATCATCTTCATCATCATCATAATTATTGATATTATCATTATTATTATCGTTATTCATATTATAACTGATACTATGATAAATTATTATCATAATCATTATTTTAATAATCATTTCTACCATTATCATTATCATTATTATAATTATGATAATGATAATGATGATGATAATAATAATGATAATAAAAAGAAAGAGGATGATAATGATAATGATAATAGTAATAATCTTTATTATTATTACTATCATCATCTTCGTTATCATTATCATTATTATTACCATCATCATCATTATTATTATAATGATAATAATTATCATTATTATCATTATCGCTATTGGCATCATCACTATCATTGTCATCGCTATTATCATTATTATTTTTTCTCATTATCATTATCATTACTATTATTATTATTATTATTGCTATCATTATTATTTCCATTATCATTGTCATTATTATCATTGTTAATATTATTAAATTTTTTATCGTCATTGTTTTATTATGATCATTATTATCAATGGTATTCCCATTCTTACTTTTGTTATTATTATTACTTTTATTATTATGATGATTCTCATCATCATTATGATTATTATTATATTATTATATTATTATTATTCTCATTATTGTTTTTATTATCATTATCGTTATCATTGTTATCATCATCATTATTATTACTATTATTGTTATCATTATCATTATTATTATAATTTTTATTACTATGATTATTTTCATCATCATCAATGTTAGTAATATCAGTTGCCATTATTCTGAACATCATTATAATCATCATCATCATTATTACTTTCATCACAATTCATAGTATTGATATAATTGATATTGTCATTATTAATATCATTATTGTCATCATTATTATTATCCTCATTACTGTTGCTTTTGTCGTTGTTCTTCTTCTTATTATTATTATGATGATGATGATTGATGATATTTATTATTATTATTATTATTATTATTATTATTATTAACATTATTATTATCAATATTATTATCATCATTATTATTTTTGTTGTTGTTGTTATCATCATTAATGTTGATATTTTACCCAAGTCAAGGAGTTTATGAGCTTGTTAGTGTTAGTTAGTTTGTTCGTTTGCAGGATAACTCTAAAACTTATAATGAACATATTTTTGTTTTTTTTTTTCTTTTCTTTTCTTTTTTTTTTTTTTTTTTTTTTTTTTTAGCAGTGTATCTTCACCAACTTAGATGCAATTTTTTTTTGGTGGTGATCCGGATCCAAGAATTTTTCATATCATTACAATAGTAATGATATGATTAATGAATTTATATATATATATATATATATATATATATATATATATATATATATATATATATATATATATATATATATATATATATATATATATAATATATATATATATATATATATATATATATATATATATATATATATATATATATATATATATATATATATATGCGTATGTATGCGTGTCTGTGTGTACAATTATGCACACACACGCGCACAACGAAGGGAGAATGATACATAAAGGTAATCGAAGACGTTACATTTATTTTAATATTTTACAATTTAGACCCAGACACAACATAGAAAAATAACAGAGTACTTCTTGTTCATATTTCAATAAGTTGCCAGCATATACGTTTTGGAATAGCCAGGAATACACATACACGCACACACACTCACACACACACACACACACACACACACACACACACACACACACACAAACACACGAACATACACACTAAACATACATGTACAAAGATCCACATATGATACTGATACATATATGCTCAAGGTACATAGATGAAAATACATTATGACATTATTCTACAACAATAAGATACAAAAATTCCTTTCGGAGTTGCTGAGTGTGTCTTGCTCGTCTCGCAAGTCCCGTATGTAATTAGTCTTCAGAGTTATGTGTTTATATATCTTTTTTTTAGACGGAGTTTTGAATACGTTCCTGCGAGTGAGCAAGACTTTCATGGAAGTTCTTAGCTTTAAGCCAGATTTTCCGCCGATTCGTCAGAAGGCAGAGAGACACACACAATCATACAACACACACACACATACACACATACACGATATATATATATATATATATATATATATATATATATTATATATATATATATATATATATATATATATATATATATATATATATATATATATAATATACATATATATATGCATACACACACACACACACCACACACACACACACACACACACACACACACACACACACACACACACACACACACACACACACACACACACACACACACACACACACACACACACACACACACACACACACACACACACACACACACACACACACACACACACACATATACATATATATGTATGCATATATATATGTGTGTGTATTTATATATATGCACGTATATATATGTACAAATATATGTGTTTGTGTGTGTAAATATTTAGGTAGGTAGACAAAAATTACATATTTACGTGTGTTTAACCACTTATATTTTATTCTAAATATGTATATGTGTATTTATGTACATATGTATAGATATACCAATATACATGTATATGTGCATATGTATACATATCATAGAAAAAAAAACATTAAAAATAATCAAATACTTACATTATTTGAACAGTGAGCAAAGTAGAAACCCATTCATACACACAGTTGTAATTGACACACACATAGAGCTGGTAATAGAGCAAAGTCATTCTTATGTTTACTTCTCAGTGGAGATACAGTGTAAACTTGCAGTCTTTGTACTATACTGAGCAATACGCCTCATGGATTCCCCCGTACCATGTTGGGTTTTGCGCAGCATACTAGAAAGTGTTACTACACCAAATGAAAATATCACACGACACTGCGCGATATACACTGAATGTCCATTCGGTTTCTGTATGATTCTCTCTCTCTCTCTCTCTCTCTCTCTCTCTCTCTCTCTCTCTCTCTCTCTCTCTCTCTCTCTCTCTCTCTCTCTCTCTCTCAGAGGTTATGAAACAATGTCCTTCATTCTAGGTGTGGATATGTGACTTTTTATCAAAGGGTAATACTATGATATTTCTTAGCGTCCTTTCCAACGCCATGATATGAAGTTGTATAATATAACCCTTGAACATCATATTCAAGTAGAAAGTCAGTGATATGACGTTTGGAAAAAGGGTTATCATGAAAAGAGAGAGAACAAATGAATCCGTTTTTTTTCTTTTCTTATAATTCCATAAAAGAAGAGGAAGAGGTAAATGCTTGGAGATGCATCTTGGAAATACGTGGATTTCGAAGAGGAATTTCCCCATCTGCCGGTGCGACAGCGTGGCTCACAAAGCGTAATAGTTCATATCGGAATAACCACAAATATATCGATAAACATGTTGAACACGTGACCTTACCATGTAAAATACACGTAACATACAAGCGTCACAACAAGAAAATAGATCATGAACACCAAAGTGACTCACTTAAAGAAATAATTTCGCTCATTAGTCTTTTTACCATCAATTATCAATACTGTTTTTTAAAATAATCAGAATATTTCTTTTTCGGCCAGTACGTACACTAACATAATTTACTGACATAATAATTTGTCGAGAATTTATCTCAAGCCTGGTCTGACTTTCTCTTTCACAGCATTTCACCTTTCGTATCCATGTCAGCTGTTGCCTTGACCACCTTGAGGTCGTACATGTCGTCGTCCACGAACTTCCTCTTGCAGCAGCCGCAGACGGTGGTCACTGTCGCCGTCCCACTATTACTGGAAGAGTTCGAGACCTGGACGTCCAATCTCCTGCAGTTGCGGCCGGAGTGGGACGACTTCGGGGACTCGTGGTGGTTGTCGTAGATGAAGGAGGTGGTCGTGGTTGTGCCGTGGTTGTTGAGGGTCAGCTGAGAGTCCGTCTGCTGTAGGTTGACCCCCATGTAACACTTCTGCAGGAGGCGAAGGGATGGGGAGGGACAGATATAAGCACAGGACCTGATAAATAATAATATCGGAAGACAAGTAAGCCAAAACACACACACAGCCAGAAAGGGAGATCACTCCTTCACACGTCGTCTAAGGTGAAATTAGGACATTACCTTACACGTAAGGTCAGAGGTCACTGTGCCACGTAGATTCTTGTTCGAGGTCGCGACGACAAGGCGGTCAGACTCCTGCACAGGCTGGGCCGCCTTGTGTACCATCCTGCAGGAGGATTCATCACGTCACAACACACATCATTACGAGAATACTGCTTGAAATTCACGATCAATTACCTACTGTGTAACTCTACAATTTTAGCATCTATTTATAAGTAAATTAATGACCGGAGAGGCTACACAGGAGAGTAAATCTAATAGGATAAACATATTACATCGGTTAATAAGTATATAGAAGCATAAAAAAAATACAAGCATATAAACATATTTCTACATCATATATGCAATGACATAAACAAGCTAACGGATAATACTGGGAAAAAAGCAGATTTTCTCCGACTTCCTGAACTGGTCACTGAAAAGACAGGAATGCGTTTGACACATAAATCAGCTGGATAAAAGCAAGAGAAATTTTTTTATCCTCGAGTTAGATCCTGTTTGAAAGTTTTTGAAGCGGGATTTCCTTTTCCAATTACTGAAGACAAGTTGGAATGCAAAAAAAAAAAAAAAAAAAAAAAAAAAAAAGAAAAAAAAAAAAAAAAAAAAAAAAAAAAAAAAAAAAACAGAGAACAGGTGGTGCAAGATGAAAAAAATAACCTTATATTCGATTTAAGAAGATAAGAAGCTACACTCAGATATACTCGAGGCCATTGTGATATACAAAACTTCTTTCCTCCATGAGAACTTTGTCACTTATGAACTTTGATATAAGATGCAATATAACACATGACGACCCAATGAAGTGTGTGAAGGCAGCTCATTGTTTTGTCTTTTGCAGAGCAATATCTTCTTGATTTGCTCTGGAGTTATTGGCATGTTGCAGTTATTGAATTTCAACTTGTGGAAAACAGGACACGCGCATAAAGAAATAAAAGGAGAGATGGACAGAAGAGCAAAAGGGGCTAAGAAAAGGAAGAGAGAGAAACTTCAGAAAGAGATGAAGAAGAAAAAAAAAGAGAAGGAGGAAGAACCTGAAGAAGAAAAGGAAGAGAGAAACTTCAGAAAGAGAAGAAGAAGAAAAAAAAAAGAGAAGGAGGAAGAACCTGAAGAGGAAAAGGAAGAGAGAGAAATTTCAGAAAGAGAAGAAACAGAAAAGGAAGAAGGAAAAGGAGGAAGAACGTGCATAAAGAAATGAAAGGAGAGACAGACAGAAAAGCAAAAGGGGTTACGAAAAAGAA